TTATGCTATCTGGTTATGTGGCAGGTGTGACTTTTAAAGTATTTTACTTAATATGAAAGGTAGACATTGAACATATAAATAAAAACCTTTATTGGTACTGACCTTTTTTCACTGCTGCTAAGGAGGCTTCATTTAATAAAATATTGTTCTGAAAAAGTAGTTGTGTCAGATGATAACTAAACCTTAGAATTTTTACGCTGTATGAATACTGTTTATTAGAAGTGCCATGACTGGCCATTATGAACTGACTCACAAAGGTATCACTTATGGAAACTGGAGATGCCTGTCTGGATGTAACAATCAATTTAACCTAAATGGAATGTACCCATGGAGATTTTTTTTCTTTGGGTGGAGGCATAAGAGAAGATAACTAATAAAATTGATATGTATGTCATCTGTAATAGTGGCACTTCACATTCATAATGTATCATGTTAACTTTTGAAACTTATGCAGAGCATTATAATGAGCAATGTACTGTACCATCTGCCTAGCTGTAACTAAGTTAGTCATATAAGATGCACAGATTTAAAAACATATGTTGTAGAACTATGTGGGCACTTACCACACTGGGCTCCTAGTCCATACCTCAGGTTCCTAGGCGCTACAGTCATAGAAATAAATAATAATCACGGCCGGCTCTAGGCACCAGCAAAACAAGCTGGTGCTTGGGGCGGCACATTTTTAGGGGCGGCATGGCCGGCGCCAGAATGCCGCCCCTAAAAATGTGCCCCGGGCGCCCTAGCTCACCTCCACTGCTGCCGCTCGCACGCCACGGCGTGTAAAACAGCTGATTCGCGCGCCGCTGCTCCCCCTCCCTCCCAGGCTCTCAAACCTGGGAGGGAGGGGGAGATCCCGAGCGGCCGCGGCGCGCGAAACAGCTGATTTGCGTGCCTCTGCTCACCCTCCCTCCCAGGTTTGAGAGCCTGGGAGGGAGGGGGAGACTCTGAGTGGCCGCGCTGCGCGTGCCGCTTCTCCCCCTCCCTCCTAGGCTTGAGAGCCTGGGGGGAGGAGGCAGGGCTGGGGATTTGGGAAAGAGGCGGAGCTGAGACGGGGCCGGAGGTGGGGTAAGAAAAAAACGGGGGGGGGGGGGGGGGGGGGCAAAATTTTTTTTTGTTGGGGGGGGAAAAAATCCTAGAGCCGGCCCTGATGAATGTTATTTCAAGTGACCTTTCCAAAACAGAACCATTTTAAGTAAACTTAGTCTGAGATTTTAAAAACCTTTCTAATGATTTTTAGAAAGAGTAGGAGAAAAATGTGTGTCTCTTAGATGTGTCTCTACACATCCCCACAGTTCAGACTATAGGGGATATGAATTGTGTGTGGATGGTGTAGACACAAACCAAAGAATACTTAGTTTGCTTAAACGTAGTCCTCTTTAAACAGCATTAAGTTAATGTGGAGTAGGTATGTTACAGATACACAGGCGAGTCTCATCTTACGCTGGGGTTACGTTCCGCTGTCAGCGCATAAAGCGAAAATCGCGTATAGTCAAAATTACATTGAGTGTAATGGCAGGCGGAATCACCCGCACTACAGGTACAGTATTTAAATTGTTTTTTCTCTTTTTTTTCTTTTTTTTTGTTTGTTTTTTTGTTTTTGCCGACCGCGCAAAGCTGAATTTGTGCATGTTAAATGTGTGTAAAATGAGACTCGCCTGTAATGTCTGCAGCATCCAAACAGGGGAGTTACAGCACAGCACAGCACACTAGTGCTCCCTACAATTAACATCCCGTAGTCCGAACTGGGGCCATGTGGACAAGCCCTTAATTTCAGATCATTTGTTTTGAGATCAGTTTTACGGAGCAGCAGATCAGATCAACTATCATTCCATTTAATTAATCTGAGCAGTTTGTTTAAATGGAATTTTAAAAAATAGGATGAGAGTTTGAACCACAAAATACAGCTGATCAGAAAATAGTTTTCCCATCCCACAAGAATTTTTGAGATTTTGAAAAATTATCCCATCCCGAACCGAGTCAAAAAGTGAAAATCTGGAAAATTTTCCTTGAAATAAATCTTGAAAATAAAAAAAGTCATATTTGATTGAAATTTTCAACCTATTTTTACTACATAGTAACTTAAATTTTTAAGTGAAAGGGTTTTTTGAACAAAATAAAACTTCATTTAGAAAATATTAAAAAGAGACATTTCAACAATTTCAAAATATTTTTTGAATTTTTTTTGAAACTTTATCAAAAGCAACCCTTTCTCACAACATTTTTGGTTTCAACAAATTGGCATTTTCCATTGTTTTGTTGAAAAATTAACAACCCTTTCTTCCACAAATGACTGATCCATAACTAATAATGCATAATCAACTGCTTTTGACTTGTCAAATAATTCTGCAACATGTGGATTTTGCCAGTTGGAGCAGAGAGGTTTCTCTGGGATGCTCAATTATTTTTAATTAGAGCTTTGTGAAATTTCTGTAATGGAAACGCAATATCATACAAATCACTTATGACTAGTGCTACGACTTTGTCACGGAATCTGTGACTTCCAGAGACCTCCGTGACTTGAGCCCCCGTTCTTGGGAGCTGTAGGGTCCCCGCCACCCTGGGAGCTCCCGGCGGCCACGAGCAGCGAGGGGGCCCCGGAGCACAGAGCGGCGTGGCCAGTGGGGGTGCCCGAGATCTCCAAGCCAGAGCCACTGCAGGTGGCGGGGGTGCCCTGAGCTTGGAGCCACCAGTGGTGTGGAGACCCTGCAGCTCCGAGCCAAGCACCTCTGGGTGGTGTGGGGAGCCTGTAGCTCTCCATTTTGACATGCATATTTTAAGTAAAAATCACGGATAGGTCACGGGCTTCCATGAATTTTTCTTTATTGCCTGTGCAAACATAGGAGGCCTCAGCTGGGGTTCCCTTTCTTTAAGCCCTCACTCAAGGCCAGTTAGAGATATCTGCTTTCTTTTCTGGGTGGTGGGGACCAGATGCCCTGAAATCCCTCACTCCCCCTATGCCAAATCTTTTAGTGGAAGTTACAACTAGCTCCCGTACTATCTCTTCAGAAAGTGGCTACATGCACTGATCCCTATGCCTGTGATGTATTCTGGGATACATCTTTTTTCCCCTAGATGAAGTAAGGATAGATTGCAGTAGGACCAGTGTTGTACTGCTGAATACCAGGGACGGCAAGTTGCCCACTCCCCTGAATATCCTGATGGGACGGAGAGAATATGCCTGCTTTGTTGGCCCCATGAAGATGCCGTAGGAGGGGACAAGGTCAACTATCTGCAGCAGAGTGCTGCACAGATGCCAGCTGGCCAGTTTGCTGAAGATACTGAAGCTTGTTTGAATTTAGGGTGCACCACCTGCCAACGCAAACCTGCCATTTTGACCCGTGACATCTGTGAAAGCCAAAACCAGCAGGTTTCAGATAACACTATTTTTAATTACTTTGCATAGTTGCGAAAATCTATCTTTGCTTATTTTAAGAGACTTTTCTGATCAAATGTCTGGAAAGACAGAAGTGTACATTCAGTAGCTGTAGTTCCCTCCTTTCGTGAAGACAACAGTACAACTCCCTCAGGATCTTTAGAAGAAAAAATGCAATCTGAAGCCTGGCAGTTTGATATTTACTTTTAATGGAGTAGAAGTAGAGAACACCCATGCCCTATTAATGTCACATTGGACAAGGAGAATCTGCCACCCACCCTAAAACCTGTAATACTCCAGCCAGTACTAAAGAAACCTTCACTACATGCTAGAAACCTTGCAAATGAAGCTGATTGGAAATTTTTTGATGGAAAGTTTTTTTTTGTCAGAAATGTCTTTGTCACAATTGAAATCTGCCATAGGACCGTGACTATTTGCTGAAACTTCCAATAGAAATCTGCCTGGTTTCCCGTCACCACCTCTGCCTGACTCCTGAATGGCTGCCACAGTGCTGGAGCTGCCAAGGCTTCAGGCTCCTAGGGGGCATATTTTGTTTTAGAAACACTAAAATGTTCCCTCTGCAGGAATAGTTCAGTGTTACCTAAACAAAATATTGCAGAATTTCACTTCCATGAAAAATGTTGAGATTTTGGCTTTTTGTCCCAATTTGAGACAACTTTTTTTCTCCCCAGAAAAAAACCCTCAATTTTTTTTGTGGAAGTGGAATTCAGTTTACCAGTGAACACCACTTGCAAAATAGAGTCCAGTGTTTAATGTCCCCTATGTAAACCAATCGAGAAGCTAGTAAAAAAAAGTCTCCAGTGCCTCCTGTCAACTGTCAGTCAAGCTTCAGGTCAGAGCATAGTAAAGAGGCGGCATTTGTGTCTTTGGGTATGTCTATACTGCAGTTAAATACTCACAGCTGGCCCATGCCAGCTGACTTTGGCTCATGGAGCTCGGGATAAGGGGCTGTTTAGTTGCAGTGTGGACTTGCAGACTGCAGCCTGGGCTCTAGGACCTTGCAAGGTGGGAGGGTCCCAGAGCTCAGGCTCCAGTCTGTAAAGATTAAATTTTATTTCGTGAAGTGTCATTAGCTCTGAATTTAATTTTGAAAACAATCATGGTTAAAGAGTGCTATCATACTTGTAGTTAAGATCTACATTATTAGGTAGGATTTATGTTCTAAAGTCTTATGAAATCTATTATTGAGATTTTATAAATTTAATATTCAATACTTAAATTAGAGTAGAACCCAGAGAACTCAATCAGAATCAGGGTCCATTGTGCACAAACACATGAATCCCCAAAGAGCTTATAATTTAACTTTAGGAATGCATAGTAGTCATATAAACATACATACAGATCAATCTTTAAGTGATCAATCAATGGTGGTCTAATAAAGGTGGAGCAGAATTGAATTCAAACATTTAAAGTGACTATGGGGTAGTCTCATAAAACAGAAGGTGGCCTAGTAAGGGTGTTACTTGTACAAGTTTCATTGTGTTACCAATTAAAAGCTTTGAAGTTAATTCTCTTCTGGTAGCTACAGTGTACCTAATATACCGTATATTTTATTAGCACTTCTTTATAGATGCTAATGACCTTTTCTGCCTTTTCCCCCCTTTAGTGGGATTGGTCGAAACTGGCCCTGGGCTTCTGGAGGAAGCAGTATTCTGGCAGAATTTGGAACTCTGCATTTGGAGTTCATACATTTGAGCCATTTGTCTGGAAACCCAGTGTTTGCTGAAAAGGTTAGATTCTTTGGTAAAACTTTTATATTAAAAAATGAAAAATTGGAATTTCTGTAATTTTAAGTGTCACAGTAAGCAGGCGAATAGTTTCTGTGGGAATCCATATTAATGAACACAAAACACATGGCTGAATTGACAGAGATTCATTTTGTCATGGATATAAAAATTATAAAAGCACTTATCAGGCCACATAATATCTGGAAGTTTGGTTAAGTGGTAAATTCATGTAGATTAGGCATTTGGAACACAGCACCTATTTTAGTTGATGTAACTTGCTTGGTTAAGGTGAAAACCACAAATAAATTTTATATTCAGATAATATACTGTAAAAAGAACAAGGAGTACTTGTGGCACCTTAGAGACTAACAAATTTATTTGGGCATAAGCTTTCGTGGGCTAAAACCCACTTCATCGGATGCATGGAGTGGAAAATACAGTAGGAAGATATATATATACACACATAGAGAACATGAAAAAATAGGTGTTGCCATACCAACTCTAACAAGACTAATCAGTTAAGGTGGGCTATTATCAGCAGGAGAAAAAAATCTTTTGTAGTGATAATCAGGATGGCCCATTTCAAACAGTTGACAAGAAGGTGTGAGTAACAGTAGGGGAAAAATTAGCATGGAGCAATAGATTTTACTTTGTGTAATAATCCATCCACTCCAAGTCTTTATTCGAGCCTAATTTAATGGTGTCCAGTTTGCAAATTAATTCCAGTTCTGCCGTTTCTTGTTGGAGTCTGTTTTTGAAGTTTTTTTGTTGGAGAATTGCGACTTTTAGGTCTGTAATTGACTGACCAGGGAGGTTGAAGTGTTCTCCGACTGGTTTTTGAAGGACGATCCTGAAGGACAATCCCTCACTCTCACAGATCTTGGGAGGCAGGTCTGTCCTCGCTTACAGACAGACCTCCAACCTGAAGCAAATACTCACCAGCAACCACACACCACACAACAAAAACACTAACCCAGGAACCTACCCTTGCAACAAAGCCTGTGGCCAATTCTGTCCATATATCTATTCAAGGGACACCATCATAGGACCTAATCACATCAGCCACACCATCAGAGGCTCGTTCACCTGCACATCTACGAATGTGAGTTATGCCATCATGTGCCAGCAATGCCCCTCTGCCATGTACATTGGCCAAACCGGACATTCTCTACGCAAAAGAATAAATGGACACAAATCAGACGTCAAGAATTATAACATTCAAAAACCGGTCGGAGTACACTTCAACCTCCCTGGTCACTCAGTTACAGACCTAAAAGTTGCAATTCTCCAACAAAAAAACTTCAAAAACGGACTCCAACAAGAAACTGCAGAACTGGAATTAATTTGCAAACTGGACACCATTAAATTAGGCTTGAATAAAGACTCGGAGTGGATGGATTATTACACAAAGTAAAATCTATTACTCCATGCTAATTTTTCCCCTACTGTTACTCACACCTTCTTGTCAACTGTTTGAAATGGGCCATCCTGATTATCACTACAAACATTTTTTTTCCTCCTGCTGATAATAGCCCACCTTAATTGATTAGTCTTGTTAGAGTTGGTATGGCAACACCCATTTTTTCATGTTCTCTGTGTGTGTATATATATCTTCCTACTGTATTTTCCACTGCATAAATCCGATGAAGTGGGTTTTAGCCCACGAAAGCTTATGCCCAAATAAATTTGTTAGTCTCTAAGGTGCCACAAGTACTCCTCGTTCTTTTTTTATATATATATATATATATATAATATACTGTGTTCATGCAGAAGTACAAAGGACTGTGACCTTCTAGCGATCACTTTGATGCATTTTTTAAAAATACAGGGTGTCACTACTGTAAGTAAGGGATTTGGGAGTCTTTTCCATTTCATGTCCGTCTTTATAGAGTGTTCGTAACTTTTTGAGGAAAGTACTCTTTTTATGTGACATTTCTCATACTTGTTCACAGCCTAAAGGTGCGTTTTTTCCAAGTTTGGTAAAATTCTATGTGGCCATTTTTGACTTTTTTGAGCTTTAAAAAAATAACATTTTCACTACTTCAGAAATTGTTGTGGCTAGCCCTGTATTCACATTTAAATAACTACAAATGGATTATTTTAAAAACTTCAAATGTGGCTTGATGATTTTTTACATATTTGAAGAAACATCACATACAAATACATTTTTACACATTCTAAAAAAGACTATGGTACATACACAGTATGTTTTTTCTATTAAGTTTTTAACATATTGCACCAAAGTACAGTATTTCATTTACTGTTGTACAGATTTACATTGAATCAATGCAGATGTGTTTATTGGGATAGATACATATTTGAATAAATGTACTACAATAATTTTAATATTCCTATGTGTATGTACAATATAAAAATGTTTCCAGTGAATTGTTCCTTTAATCACAAGCATAAATACATTTTAATAAGAAAAATGTATATTCTTTCGAAATATATAATGTGCCTATCAAAAGACCTCTATGCATATGTGCAATTAAAAAAATCAAATCTGATATCAAGTAAGAAACTCCACAGAAAAAACAGAGTTTGTCTATTCAACATCTCCCTTAAAGGCCTTGTTAAAGAGATCTGCAGCATGCTCTGAAGGTCAATAGATTTGGTTCTGTTGGACTAAAGAGGGAGATGAAACGGTGGATATGGATCTTATACAGGTAGATTTATTGAATATGTATTCAAAGTTTTTTTTATTTTTGAAACAAAATTACTAAATACAAAAAAAGGCGTGCAAAGGGGTTAAAATTAAATTACTGGTTCCTAGGCAACTATAATTCAGCTTCATTTAACATATATACCACATCCACTTATATAAAATATTATTATGTACAAGAGAATAGAATTATAGATGTTGTAATCATATGTTTTTATTTCCTGACTTTTGTATAATTTAGATCTCAACAAGAACATTGCATTAATGTAGTTTACGTACTTTATTTTGTTTATTAATTAGAAATGTCAGACATATATACAGCAATATACATATTTAAAAATGACTTTTCTTTGTTAAATTATGACATCTTAATAAGAAATTCCAGAGGAAGCTGTAAACTTTGTTTAGCTCCAAAAGCAGTGGTCCAACCTTTTAATTGAGTATTAAGTACACCAAGCTTCATGGATTGGCTGAACAATGTATTGTTACCATTATGTACAGTGCAATATTAAAGCTCACACAATTGTTGTAACCTATGAAATGCATATGCAAAACAAGATTAATTAAGGACAGAGTTTGTTTTAAATAAATCTGAATTTCAAAGGCTTTTTCCCCAGACTCTCAAGAAGTGACATTTAAGATAACATATTTTAATTTTTAAACTAGTATTAAGAACAAAATAAAATCTAATGAAAGTGCACAAGTTGATAATCTTGGCAAATAAGCCAAAGATTTGAATAACCTTTAAATGGAACTACATTCTGTCTCCTAGAGGTAGGAACTCCAAATCAGACCTGGGGACATCTTGACAATGTTTTAGGGAGAAGCTTTCAGTGCTCCTGCCTTGCTGTTTCTGTTCTGTGGCTAAATCGTGATCGTCCTTCTTCAGTGCAGTTAATCTGGTGTCTTTCATTAAAATTCCATCAAAATACTACATGTGCTCTATTTACAATGAACCATGCTAGAAGGGCACTCAGACTTCAGCTAATGCAGAATATAGCTGCTGTCTTGTGGTCCTGCAATGAGCTCAATATCAGTGGAGTCCTGTGCCACTGCACTGTGGAGCTCACTCTAGGATAGAGACTTTACTCAGCAAAACTTGTTACAGACAGTCCATTACTTCAGTGCTCTATATACTGTTCAAACTTGAAGTTAATTCCTAGCTACAATCTAAATTACTGGTTTAAACGTGTAAAGCTCTTTATGATTCGGGTGACTGAGAAACTGCCTTTCTTCCTGTCATGCCACCATGGCAGAGTTTAGCTGGAGTGCCCAAATGCCAAAGATTTGAACATCTGGGGAGCTGGGTGGGAAAACATCCTCAGTGGAGGGCGCTTAGTTCTGTAACTCATTTCCACCATTTTGTCTCCCTCTTTAGTTGAACAGAGCCAAATCCGTTGACCTTCAGGGGCATACTGCAAATCTCTTTACCTTGTCCTTTTATGAGGGAGAAATTGAATGGAGCATCTCTATTTTTTTCTGTGGAGCGTTTTAGTTGATGACAAAGGATTAGATTTATGTTTATTTTTAAAAGAAATTGTCTATGCCTATGCATAGAGGTCTTTTGATAGGGACATTATATATGTTGAAAGAATAAATAGTTTTTTGAATTAAAAATGTATTTATGCATGTTGATAAAAAAGGATGCACTGATGCTACTTGTATTTAATGGGAATATAAGACTGGATCAAGTGCTCATTGTTTGGTTTTCTTTGTAACAGGTAACGAACATTCGTAAAGTTCTGAACCGGCTTGATAAACCAGAAGGTCTTTACCCTAATTACCTGAATCCCAGTAGCGGTCAATGGGGTCAACGTAAGTATGGCAGTTCTTCAGAACTGCCAGTTAACTATTTTTACATACCATCTCTAGGGAGAAATAAACTCTTGATTGTTTCTCTCACTCTTACCAATTGACAAACCTGAGTTATACTTGAGTTACTTATTTTTCTACCCACTTCATATATGTTAAAGTATATTTCTCTGACCTCTAGCATATTTGTTAGTAGAAAGCTTTTGAATGAGTCTAAGTGTGTGGTTGAAAAATGTCTTTTTTCATTGAAAAATTTAAAGTGCTCTGTTAAGGCTGCTGTTTAAAGAAATGCTATCAGTTTGTCTTGGATCAAAATTCGATGTTGGTATAAATTGGTTTAGTTTCACTGAAGTTAATGAAACTGTGCCAGTTTATATTAGCTGAGTATTTTCCTCTATATTTCTTCTGTGAGTGCTTCTCTACGTCCATTACACTGTAGGCGTATGTGTCTCATGCATTGGTTCCAGAGAGTTTTCCCTAGTGGTATCTGTAGGGGCCGTCCTACCCATACCCCAGTTCTGAATGGAGGGCACAGAGGAAGGAGCCACCCCACCCCTTCTTGAGTTTTTCTTACCTTCTGTAATCAGTAGTCGGAGCATTCTTTGTTCACAGCCTCGCTCCTTGAGAACAAACTTGTGGGAACTTTAGCTAACTTTTGCCTATTGCTACTGTGTTTCATCCATTGGACATTATTTTTCTTTCTGTATTTTCCTTTATATTTAAAATTATTCCCTTTAGTTCATTTTCTGAATTGGGCAGATCTCCAGGTCTCGCCTAGTACTGGGGAGCCTATGCCAAGGTCGCCGGCTTTCAAGCCTTGCTTTGGTTGTCAAAAGCAGATTCCTATCAGTGACCCTCATTCACACTGTCTTAAGTGCGTGGATGGGAGCCACATAAGAGACAGATGCTCGATATGCCAGGGCTTAAAGACCAGAATGAAAAAGCTGAGGGAAGAGCAGCTTTGATGTCTTCTTACAGAGGCTGCTCTTAGATCAGTGTCTGAACCCTCTTGGTTGTCAAAAGGAAGCTCAACAATTACTCCTCCTTGGAGTGCTCCCCCAGCTTTACCAGCAGATAAAAGCCACAAGAGATTCCCATCACTGGGACTGTCTTCTTTAAGGTCTACACAGCAGCTAGACACCCATGGCTGTCTGGTGCCAGCTGATTCAAGCTCACAGGGCTTGGACTGTGGGGCTGTTTCATTACTGTGTAGACTTCCAGGCTTGGGCTGGAGCACAGGATCTAGGGCCCTGCTCAGGATCAGCCCGAGACCGGAAGTCTACACAGTAATAAAACAGCCCCACAGCCCAACCCTCACAAGCCTGAGTCGGCTGGCACAGGCCAGCCACAGATGTCTAATTGAAGTGTAGACATACCCCTAACCCATTCAGAAGCATATGAAATCATCAATATCACGTTCTTTGAAGCCCAGGCCCCGGGACTGCTCTGCAGAAGGTCATGCTGGTACTGATGGTAGAGTGTGCCCTTTGGCTTGCCGCTCCCCTGTACTGGCTCACATGGATTCCCATAGACCTTTGCCGTTTACACCAGAATGCTCCCAGGGACCATTGAGACAGGCGACTACTTCAGTTACAACACTAGGTCAGTCATCATTGTCCTAGAGGCCTATATAGCAACAAGAGACCTACTATGCTGGTCAGTACCAGCATTGCCATTGATTCAGGGTGAAGACCCTATTCCAGCACCATTGCAGGTTCTGCACTCATAAGGTCTAGTACAGTCTGCTGTGGGCCCATCAACCTTAGGCCCTGTACTGGATTCATCAGCCTCTTCTATGTCCATCTCTAGACCTCTGGTACTGGCTCCATCTTGTCGCACAGTATCCAGAAGTGGGAAGCATTTCGTTCTTCCCCTTCTACTGTGTTCCTCGCATAGATTCATAGATTCCAAGGCCAGAAGGGACCACTGTGATCATCTAGCCTGACCTCCTGTATTAACACAAGTTATAGAACTTGCCAACATAATTCCTAGAGCATATTGTTTATAAAAACATAGTCGATTTAAAATCTGTCAGTGATGGAGAATCCACTGTGACCCCTGGTCTGCTAAGATCCTGAAACCGGTGCCCAGCCCCTTCAAGTCCCCTTCATTTGTCTAGATACACTCCCTCCCCTCCCCACCCCCCAAGTCCACTTGGCTGCGGGAACTCTGTTATTCTAGTTGCACCCTTCAGAGGCAATGTGGAAGTAAAGCAAGCATTTGTGGGACGTTTCTCTATTGACTTCTTCAGAGCAGCAACATGGTCTTCCATCAACACGTTTACTAGACAATATGCACTTCTTGCTTGCATCAAGAAAAGAAACAAATGTGGGGAAAATGGTTCTACAATTCCTCTTATGATGAGACTTCAAGGCCCATTGCATTTGATAACAGCTTGGGAGTCACCTAAAGCGTAAAAGACATATGCGAGCACTCGAAGAAGAAAGAATGGTTATTCGCCATCTTGTAACTATTGTTTTTCGAGATGTGTTGCATATGTCTGCTATATGCCAACCGTCTTTCCCAACACATCGGAGTCTACCATTGGCATGCCAGTCCAAAGGAACTAAAGGAGGGCTGGGGTGGCTCCATTCAGAGCACGAGGAGCCAGAGCATGAGCAGGGCTGCCCCTATGGGTACTGCTAAGAAAAATTCCCCAGCACTGGTGGTGCATGAGATGCACACAGACCTACAGTTTAATGGTCATATGCAACACATCTCAAAGAACAACAGTTATGGGAAGGTGGATAACATTTTTCTACAGATGAGTGTTTATTCTGCTGACATTAAATGATGCTGGCAGACAATTAAGGAAGTAAGCTAAACAGAATTATATTGCCTTCAATTCCATTGGAAACCTCATGAGGAAAAATCTAACAACTAACAATTAGTGGGGAATGAATATGTAGAACAGGGATCGGCATGGGTTGTTGAACTAGAAGGTGTTACTAGAATCCCTTTTTTATATTGTTACACTATTAAACAGTTGTGGTTTGGGAGTTTTTACATGACGGGACATTGGTTTGCTTTTACTGTAGCAATCCCGTCATCGAAATTCTTCTGAACAGTTGATTCAGCGCACCCACTGAAAAGAAACAAAATAGAAATTATTAAAATATTTGGGCCAAGATCCACAGAGGTACTTAGGTACCTATCTCATGCCCAAGCCCCAGCTGGATCTTCAAGCCAGCTGAAGATAGGCATTCCCCGGCCTGTCTCACCTGTGGGACCTGATCTGGTAGGCATGCTCTGAGCACAGCTATTGGATTGAGGCCCATTCAAAATCCAGCAGAATGAGGAAGAGGTAGTGGTGCTACCCTTATAATTTTTAACCCACTAGATAGAGCACTTACTGAGGATGTGGACACTCCCATTCAATTCCCCCCCCTCTGGCTGATGGGGAGAAGGGTTCAAATCCTTTCTAACGAGAGAGCCCTAACTATTGGATTTTGGGATATTCTAATGTGGGCCTCTCTCCATCTTAACCTGTTCCACTTTGGATAGATGCTGAAATAGTCATTGGGCCAGAGAGAGAGAGAGACTGAGAATGACTCTCTATCCTGGTGGTTAGAGACTCACCTGGAGGTGGGAGACCCAGGGTCCAGTCCCTCTGCTCCAATGACTCTTTAATTATTTATCTAAAGTGTAACAGCTTCCATTGGCTAGCCTTACGCAGCTACCCACCTAGCATGCTGGCTTTTGTAGATCCCATTTTTAGGTGCTTATCTCTCCTCATTCATCATATAGAGAGGCTGGGTGCCTAACCCAGGCTTTGTGGATTCTAGTGATTTTCAAGGTACCTAAAAATTAGGCATTGCAGCACCTAAGTTCCTCTGCGGAACCAGGCCTTAGAATATAAAAGAAAGTAATTGTTTTGGGAAAGTTGTTCTTTTTAAACATGTTTAGTAAAGTATTTTAGAGGGAATGACATAGTTTAGAAAGTTTCTTGCTGGTTTTAAATGCCAGTTTTTGAAGAAACTATTTAATATTGACTTCCTTATATTTGTTCGTGTTTTCTGCTTTTTAAATAAATGATCTACATGCACACTAGAGGACAAAAGAAAAGATGGATAGGAAACATCATTTAAGTCAGCATGAACACATAGGTTTTATTCTCTAGACACCCACTTACTTTTTCAGTCTAGCACAACACTAAGTTGGCATGATCTGGTAGTCTTTCATCCTTTCACTTTTTTTTTCTTTTTCTTTAAACAGAGGAACAGGTTGCTTATTCTGTCTTGTCCTGTCATTTTGACTATATCAGACAGCTCAGTTCATTTCAAAGCTTGCCAAGCATGCAGTCGGTTTAACAAGACACACAATGGGAGGGGACATAAGGAATCCTCACTGTTCTGTTTGCAGCCTGGGTATATTGGAGAGTTGTCCCCAAAGGCAAAGGAAGTGACTGTTTTATTGAATAATGGAATCCCAAGATTTGAGGACCTAAATGATACTCTTATATCTGTCTTTAATTTTTTTTAAAAAAGCCCTAAATGTAGGAATATCTCTCCATTTTAATGAATTTCCAGTCAATTGTTATGCCAGTTTGTAAATTCATAAGAGTTCTTGGAAGTCTTTTTACCACCAGGCTTTAGCCTGAACAAACTCAGTTTATAACATTCCTCTGACTCCATTTTGTACTTCTTTTTAACAACAGTGTTATAAAGCAGTAGTTTTCAACCTGTGGTCCACAGACTACACCTCTACCCCGATATAACACTATCCTTGGGAGCCAAAAAATCTTACCGCGTTATAGGTGAAACTGTGTTATATCGAACTTGCTTTGATCTGCCGGAGTGCGCAGCCCTGCCCCCCCAGAGCGCTGCTTTACCGCGTTATATCCGAATTCGTATTATATCGGGTCGCGTTATATCGGGGTAGAGGTGTATTTCTAAGATTTTCAAAGGAGTCTGCACATCAATTTGAAATTTTTTAGGGGTCCACAAATGAAAAAAGGTTGAAAACCACTGTTATAAAGCATAAGCACAGGTAACCACAACCTTTTGTAACTTCATACCCATATTGACTTAGCAAGGCTTTTTAAATCTTAGAGAGAGAGAGAGACATGTGCATGCAAAAAACATGCATACATCTATATATTTCTATGTATGTTTTAAGACAGTGGGCACTGTTGGCTAGGAAGGCCTTCTCCATGCCTGTGACCCTGTGCTTAGGCAATTATAGTTGCTTACTCCTCTGCCTGTCCCCCTTTATCGGCCACAGAAACTCTGTTTTATTAAGGTATGTCAGCTAGCAACTGCCCTGAATAGATCTTCAAACACAATTGCCCTTGACTAAAACAATAATAATATTTACTGCCATAGGTACAGAAAGAGAGGTCATAAAATGAATGAGAAATATGACTAAGCTAAAACCTCACTAGTCTGGCATTAAACTTACCTAATATTGCAATGCCTCATGTGGTAGGAAAGCCCTTACTCTCACCCAGTTTAAAAGCTGCCACTGTGTCTCTGTGATTTGTCCTTTTTTAAAAGTGAATCAAATTCTAATTCTGCTATTTAGGCTTTTGACCTTTCCTATGTTTATATAATAGTGCCTCAAAAACTTCTCTTTTGTATCAAATCAAATCCCTGGTACATGTCCGGGAGCTTGTAATTTATAAAGCCATCTTCTTTTACCAATGGCATGTAATTTGTATATGGAAATTAGCTTCTTGTCCATACAAACCACGAACACAAGTGTTGATGCAGGTCGATCCATGGCATGTTAAAAAAGCAACAAATAAAATAAAGTCTACATTTGTTTCCTCTGTTCCAATTCAATTGCTTTTTGTTTGCAAGCACGGATTTTTTACAATGGAAGAAAACAAGAACTAAAGTCATAAAAAGATGTTTTATTTGAGATTATTTTTCCAGTGCCTATTGATTGCAACAAAAAACTAATTGCCACAACATAGAAGTATTCAACTCACAAACATCAGCCAGGGAGAAAAAAAAAACAGGTTCTGAATGTTAGTGTTTCAATGCTGTAACTCTGAAGGACATTGTTGGTTCACTGCCATTGTTCTTGTAAATTCATTTAGTCCTTGTTATTTTGACAGTAACCTTACAGTGATTTGCTGCAGCATGCACCAATTGGATTTGTCTCCTGCAATAATGTATATAATAATAAGACTTATTATTGATGAGATTATGCTTGTGCTATTTAGTTTGCAAATGTCAGGGGTTTCTATGGTAATTTTATTTAGAAAACTGTAAAGGTCATTTAAATGCTGCTGTTCAGTGATCAGCCCTCCATCATAGGAAAACTGCTCTTGGTTTTTTTGAAGAAGCCTTTTTTCCTTTTGGATCATGAATGATAATTAAATGGTATATACTCTTCAAAAATTAAAAGATCTAATTTTTTTAAAATTCTGGTAATCGATAATTCAAAACTCTGCATAATCATAGTGCATTTGTTTGGGATGGGATAGTAGGAAACATTTTGGACACTGGAGATCACAGGCTAGTGGAGAAAAGACACACTGTCATGGTGAAGTTTTAATGGAAATACACGTAGATTCTACATTTGCATGACTTTCCAACCCCCAAGGTGAGCAAGAGGATGCATTTTGTGAATGGGGGGAGGGAATTTAGGAATTTTAAAAATTCCATTCAACTTCATAGAGAAGCAAGGATAGCCTTGCAGTCAAGGCCCAGGACTAGGAGTTAGGAGTCATTGGCTCTATATCTAGCTATGCCACAGACTTCCTGTTAACCCCCGTGTGCCTCAGTCCCCAAATCTGTGAAACTAGATGATTTTAATTGATTAGTATCAGTAAAGCACTTTGAAGTCCTCTTATTGAAGTTGCTCAATAAATGCTAATTATTAATATGAGTAACAATAGTTTTATTAGAAAATATTATTTGTGGAAGAGGAAATCTTTATCTAGTGCTCTTGTTCTAAAGTGTTGTAGAGGGCACTTAAGGCACAACTAGTTATAGTAATACTTAAGATATTGAAATATTTACTTAGTAGAAATATATTAAAATAATGTGGTGGTCTTTTAAAAACTTGCCTGTTGCTTTAGATAACTAGATATGGGGCTGATCCTGCAAACTGGATCATCAGTAGCTTTAATCATGTGAACAATCCCATTTCCTTCAAGAAGACTAACTCATGTAAGTAAAGTTAGTCACATCATAAAATCCTCAAATCCTAAATATTTGCAGTTGAACACCCATAGTATTTGCATTATCAAGGCATTTTCTGCAGTAGATCTGGGGCAATACAAAGGAACATTGCAGGTACTGAGGTAACCTTAAGTGTGTGTATGTGTGTGTATTTTTTATATATATAGGATAAAGTTGGCACATTTTTAAGGGCCACCACAAGAATGTTCGCCATAGCTTTTAGAAATGCCTGAAGTTCAAAGTTATAATTTTTTTTAAAATAGTTTTTTAAACGCTACAAGGGCAATCTTCAAATGTGCTGAACTGACTTAGCAGCAGAAATCCTATTGAAAATCAATGGGGCCTGTGCTCCTAACTCACTTAGATGCTTGTAAAATTTTCAGTTTAGAATAATTAACTGTTAATCCCAGCAGAATAAGGAATGCATTTGTGACATTAGGAGTGGGCTTTTTGCCAACTTTTTCTGTTTTTTTAAAAAAAGTTACAATATATTATAGTTACACATCTTTTGTCTATCTTAGATTATAAACACTTATTTGGTGCAGAGACGTAGATTTTTTTTCATTTCTGTAAAGTACCACGAACTCTAATGACACTATGTAAATAATAATGTTGCCTCCTCCCATCCTGTTACAGGTCATCATACAAGCAGAAAGACTAACCATTTATTTTAAAAATATTTTCTGCTGTAAAATAATTAAGTATTTTTCTGGGGTTTTGGGCTATATTTATTACATGATTGTTATAGGGAGGTATACTGAAATTTGTTAATCTATCACAGTTTCAAACTGTAATTGTGTTTCAGTGCTCAAATTCAAGGTGGAATTGCTGAATCCTCTTTTTCTCTTTTCAGATCACGTCTCTGTTGGAGGACTTGGAGATAGCTTTTATGAGTATTTGCTCAAGGCATGGTTGATGTCAGACAAGACAGATGAAGAAGGCAAGAAAATGTATTATGATGCTGTTCAGGTAAATGAGATATTTAAATCTTTCTTGCCATAATAATCTAATCTATAATGTTCCTAAAAGAAGCAGGCTCTGGGGAGAATGAGAGATTTATGCCTTTGCTACCACAGTGAATAAGTTTTTTAAAAACTAGTTGTTTTATAGGACTTTATCAGATATAAATCTTAGAACAGTGCAGAGGCTCTGTAGAAATCTAAAACTGAACTGAAATTATTTCAGTTCAGGTTATAAAAACAGTATCTAATATTTAAAAATGTGTATAAAATGTGCATTAGTGTGTAATTTTTTAAAGAAAGCTTTATCTACAAGCAGTGCCAACTAGGATTCCAATTTTCCTCATGATAACATAAATTAGATGCTTTTCTGTCCCTTTTCTTATGTTTATGATATAGGAAAACCCTCTACTATGTGTTTTAATTCCCAAAACATATTACTTAAACTGCTAGAGTATTTTGAATGTGGGCATAATAGTGTATATAGTATATAATCAGTCTGTGGATAATTATCGGTGAAATTACAGTACTGCATTAGTGTTGCATAAGCACCTTAGTTACATCATATATTCATTTTTCAGCTTTTGTGAAGTGACAAACTGCTTGAATTGAACTGTGATTGGAAAAAAGTTTATCCAAAAATAAAAATTGTGCATAGTCACCCCCAAATGCAGAATACATTGCAATAATATAAAAGATCAATGGGGAAGGATACATTCTGGCCACCAGTGAAAGGTCCAGAGACTGCTCACCACCTGGATGAAAATAGGAGAGCAAGCTGCGTTTATTAAGGCCACAGGTTCAGTTCCTTGTAGTCTTTTGGTAGGCTTCCTTTTGCCTATTTCACCTCAATTTTTTCTGAACTGAGCATGAGCCAACTGTTTTTCATCTAGGTGTATATTTGCCTCAGATACTGTAACAAAGAGGAGTCAACATTATCTGTGCTAGATGGTGAGGCAGAGCTATTTGTTAGCATAGTGATGATCCTGTAACTTACAGCATCCTTCAGTCTACCCATGCCTTACGTAAGTGTTGAACAAAGCTTGTCTACACAGGAAAGTGTTACCAGTTATATCGATATAATTATACCAGTTTGGTTAAACTGATGTAGTTATACAAGTATAACCCCCCTGTGTGGTCACACTTGTTCTGGTACAAAAGTGGCTTTATTTGATTTAGTTTAAACCTGTTTCCAAATGACATAAGCTACACTGAAAAAAAATGCCTTCTTACACCAGAGTAAGGGTGGGTTGAAACAGTGTGTGTTATACCAGTATAACTATCTTGGTTTAAATTCACACCTTAACTTATACTAGTTGTTGGAATTATCATCATTAATATAGGATACTACCATGACACCGATTTAACCATACATTCCTTCGTTAAATCTAAAGGTCACATGGTATTTCTACAATTGCTTTAAGCATGTCTAAAAAGCTTAAATAATAAGCATTTTACTATGTCCAAACAGTAACAAAATATTTATACGCGTTTGATTAAAATACTTACAAACGGGCTGACCCAGGGTGGTTAGACTCATATTGCTCATCTTCAACTTGGTCAGGCAGGTATTAACAATGAGCCCTTTAAGAGTTTGCTTTTTATACCCTATAATAAAAAAGTGATGTCATTGCCAATTATTAGACCTGAGTGAAGTCCTTTTTTATAATACATTAAACTAACAGATATAGCCAGTTATTTACAGCACCTGATACCAAATTAACCATGTTTTATTTCAATTACTTAAGACCAAATCGTAAACAAGAAAACACTACAAGTTTAACACAACTCTTCTTTCTCATGATTTCATTCTTTGTGGTCACATGATTTGGGCCTATTTCTCATGCTATTATCACAACCCATTTATTTAAATATTTTGGATGTTTTCTACATTTTCAAATATGTTGATTTCAATTACAACACAGAATACAAAGTGTACAGTGCTCACTTTATATTTATTTTTATTACAAATATTTACACTGTAAAAAGCAAAAGAAATAGTATTTTTCAATTCTCCTAATACAAGTACTGTAATGCAATCTCTTTATCATGAAAGTTGAACTTACAAATGTAGAATTATGTACAAAAAATAACTGCATTCAAAAACAAAACAATGTAAAACCTTAGAGCCAAGTCCACTCAGTCCTATTTCTTGTTCAGCCAATCGCTAAGACAAACAAGTTTGTTTACATTTGCAGGAGATAATGCTGCCCACTTCTTGTTGACAATGTCACCTGAAAGTGAGAACGGGTGTTCACATGGCACTGTTGTAGCCGGCATCGCAAGATATTTACGTGCCAGATGCGCTAAAAATTCATATGTCCTTTCATGCTTCAACCACCATTCCAGAGGACGTGTCCTTGCTGATTACGAGTTCTGCTCGATAACGATCCAAAGCAATGCGGCACAACACATGTTTATTTTCATAGAATCATAGAATATCAGGGTTGGAAGGGACCTCAGGAGGTCATTTAGTCCAACCCCCTGCTCAAAGCAGGACCAATTACCAACTAAATTATCCCAGCCAGGGCTTTGTCAATCCTGACCTTAAAAACCTCTAAGGAAGGAGATTCCACGACCTCCCTAGGTAACCCATTCCAGTGCTTCACCACCCTCCTAGTGAAAGTTTTTCCTAATATCCAACCTAAACCTCCCCCACTGCAACTTGAGACCATTACTCCTTGTTCTGTCAATCTGAGTCAGATGCCACCAGCAGAAGGTTGATTTTCTTTTTTGGTGGTTCGGGTTCTGTAGTTTCCGCATCGGAGTGTTGCTCTTTTAAGACTTCTGAAAGCATGTTGCACACCTCATCCCTCTCAAATTTTGGAAGGCATTTCAGATTCTTAAACCTTGGGTTTAGTACTGTAGCTATCTTTAGAAATCTTACATTGGTACCTTTGCATTTTGTCAAATCTGCAGTGAAACTGTTCTTAAAATGAACAACATGTGCTGGGTCATAAGGACAGCCATACTGGGTCAGACTAAAGGTCCATTTAGCCCAGTATCCTGTCTTCCAACAGTGGCCAATGCCAGGTGCCCCAGAGGGAATGAACAGAACAGGTGAATCATCAAGTGATCCATCCCCTGTCGCCCATTCCCAGCTTCTGGCAAACAGAGGTGAGGGACACCATCCCTGTTCATCCTGGCTAATAGCCATTGGTGGACCTATCCTCCATGAACTTATCCAGTTCTTTTTTGAACCCTGTTATAGTTTTGGCCTTCACAGCATCCTCTGGCAAGGAGTCCCAGAGTTTGACTGTGCTTTGTGGGAAAAATACTTCCTTTTGTTTGTTTTAAACCTGCTACCTATTAATTTCATTTGGTGACCCCTAGTTCTTGTGTTATGAGAAGCAGTAAATAACACTTCCTTATTTACTTTCTCCACACCAGTCATGATTTTATAGGCCTCTATCATATCCCCCCTTAATCATCTCTTTTCCAAGCTGAGAAGTCCCAGTCTTATTAATCTCTCCTCATATAGCAGCCATTCCATACCCCTAATCATTTTTGTTGCGCTTTTCTGAACCTTTTCCAATTCTAGTATATCTTTTTTGAGATGGGGCGACCAAATCTACACGCAGTATTCAAGATGTGGGCATACCATGGATTTATTTAGAGGCAATATGATATTTTCTGTCTTATTATCTATCCCTTAATGATTCCAAACATTCTGTTTCCTTTTTTGACTGCTGCTGTACATTGAGTGGATGTTTTCAGAGAACTATCCACAATGACTCCAAAATCTCTTTCTTGAGTGATGATAGCCAATTTAGACCCCCTCATCCAAGACTGCAATAACATGAAATAAATGGCAGAATGTGGGTAAAACAGAGAAGGAGACATAAAATACTCCCCCAAGGATTTCAGTCACAAATTATTTAACGCATTATTTTTTTAATGAGTATCATCAACATGGAAGCATGTCTCTGGAACGGTGTCCGAAGCATGAAGGGGCATACGAATGTTGAGCATCTCTGGCGTGTAAAACCTTGCAATGCTGGCTACAAAAGTGCTACGTGAACGCCTGTTCTCACTTTCAGGTGACATTGTAAATAAGAAGCAGGCAGCATTATCTCCTGTAAATGTAAACAAACTTGTTTGTCTTTGCGATTGGCTGAACAAGAAGTAGAACTGAATGGACTTGTAGTCTATGAAGTTTTACATTGTTTTGTTTTTGAGTACAGTTATGTAACAAAAAAAAATCTGCATTTGTAACTTGCACTTGCACGATAAAGAGATTGCACTACAGTACTACTAGTATGAGGTAAATTGAAAAATACTATTTCTTTTGTTTGTCATTTTTTATAGTGCAAATATTTGTAATCAAAAGTAATATAAAGTGAGCACTGTACACTTTGTATTTTGTGATGTAATTGAAATAAATATATTTGAAAATGTAGAAAATATTTAATTTCTATTGGTATTCTATTGTATAACAGTGCAATTAAAACTGCGATCAATCACAATTAATTTTTTTAATCGCGTGAGTTAACTGCGATTAATCGACAGTCCTACTATTAATCTATTTCTTTTCAAAAACTATTGCACCACATCAACTCAATGAAGACAATTTTATGATGTGCAAAAAAAATTTTTTTTTACTAACAAACCTGTTCCTTTACCACATAGATGAGCATGTTTTTGTACCATCTTACTACATGTGGGCATAGTTTTAACAAGACTCTATCACAAGCTGTATAAATATAAGTAGATTTATGTCTGTCATCATTAGTCTTCCACTGTTCACTTAAGCCCTCTGGTGAAGCCAAAACAATGTCTACACCCCATCTGTACATTGTTGTCGACAAACTATTCATCTTTCTCGAATAATTTGAAAATGGAGAACTTCCCCCCTTCTCTCCAAAAAGTTAAACCCATGTGCAGGGGAGGAGGGGATTGAAAGAACAGGCAGTGGGGACTCCTCTAAGCTGCCTTCTAGCCCACAACATTCCTTTTTTCCTTCTCTTCCTCTTTCTATCACTGCACAGCCTTATGTTAGCTGTCATTTTC